CTGCAACAAGAGAAGCCACCACAATGAGAAGCCCGCGCACCGCAACGAAGAGTAGCCCCCACTAGCTGCAACTAGAGAAAGCCCGTGCACAGCAACAAAGACCCAATGCAGCCAAAAATAAATTTAAAAATTTTTTAAAGTACTATTACCTTAAAGTTAGAGTACTTACAATTTACAAAATACTTCACATATGTTATTCTATTTGCCCCTCAGGTGTGTGCTATGCAGAGATTATTGTTTATACTTATAGATAAGAAAACCGATGCTCATAGAAATTACCTCATCTTAGTAGGGTTGGGACATAAAGCCAATACTTCAGATTTTGAGCACCAGGTTTGTTTTGTTACACACTGTGGCAGGTAACATAAAATTATTAGCTGGCAATGCCTTAATCTTTTTGCAAACAATGTATCTATTTATTTCAATACCTAGACAGGAAGAGTGTTCTGAAAAGCACCTTATATTTAATGCACCTATTTCTAAAACAACTGCATTTAACCGATTATTTGAGTGATGTGGGGCCTCGGAGATCATTTAATTCCTTAATTTTAAATAAAATTTAAAAATCACAGAATTTCAGTGCCTGATCCAATCACTCAGCAAGTTAATGGCAGATAAGAACCAGAACCCAGGCATTGACATTAGATGCATTTTCAATATTAGAAAGTTCCTAGACATGGAATTCATGCTAAGAAGTCAAATTTCATCACAGTTGTCTTGAGTTAAAAGTTTTATTAAAGTTATAATTACTGCTACAAAAAAGCAAAATAACTGATTAGAATTTATCCTTTGATTAAAATCAACACCAACTATCACACATTCTAAGTGCTTCAGATTTAAAATATTCCACTAATGACTAACAATTTCCTGCTATCTAGCCAACTTTTAATCATGCCAGGTCATTAGTCACTTATCCCAGAACTTCTACTATTCAATATTTACCTCAGATACTATACGGAATTTTTTACAAATGTTTCTGTCAAAAAAAAAGTAAAGCTCAGGAACCTTATCTACCACAGCCATAATATCCTAGAAGTCATTTAATTAGTCGGTAAAATATGAATTTCCTTTACTAAAAACAAGTTCATATTAATCCCTTTTCACCAACCCATTTTCCCTTACTGGAACTAAAAAACTGCCAATTATCAGACTTGACATGAATGAATATACAAAGAAAAATCGTATTTGTGTTTTTATATCTCAAGACACATGATAGTTTTGGAATCTATTTTTAAATTCCAACTGACACAAAGAAAGGATAATAAAAAGTTAACAGACAAAAACACATTTTACCTTAATTCTTATTACTCATACTTGCAGTACTTTATATGCCAATACTTAAAAAAATTATTCAACAGATGATAAGACATAAAGTATATTAGCATAAAATGACATAATTTGAACTAGCAGCAAATAAAAATAATACTGTTATGTTGAGTTAAAATATTTTAAAAGCCACAGTCTTCTAAAATCAAGAGTTGCTGCTCCTAAAATGCATAAGAGTAAAGTTAAATACTAAAAAATGCATTTTAAATGTTTTAATTAAGGAAGTATGTTTGACATCCAACTCAGAGAAAGAGAGAATAGAATGGTGGTTGCCACGGGGTTGACGGATGGGGGAAAAGGGGAGATGCTGGTCAAAGGGTACAAACTTCTAGTTTAAGAGTTGTAAGTTCTGGGGATGTAATGTACAGCATGGTGGCTATAGTTAACAATTCTGTAGTGTGTACTTGGAAGTTGCTATGAGAATAGAACTTTAATGTTCTCACCGTAACAACAAAATGGTAATTATGTGAGGTAAAGGATGTGTTAACTAACTTTATTGTGGTAAACATTTTGCAATATATACATTCATCATCACATTGTACACCCATTGTTCATCTTAAACTTATACAATGTTTTATATATCAATTAGACCTCAATAAAGCTGGGGGGGGAGGAAGTATGCTTGAGGCATACTCATTCTCAAATTCTATTTCCCAATTTGCTTAGAAATACTGTTTCCTAGTGTTGTTGCACAGATGTTTTATATATTTTAACTATAATTATGAAATTTCGTTTAATGTTCATAGGTGATAATTAACTTAAAAGCCATGCTGTCCAATTATATCACAGGCCAATTATGGCTGCTTGAAAGTACCTTCTTGCAGCCAAGCACTAGCCAAAAGGCTGATGATCAGGATTTATAACTGCACACTTCCAAGAAGAATCAGAAGATTCCCTCTACAAAAATAAGACTATGTCAAAGATGCTCAAATACTTTCAGATTATTATTAAACAAGGCCGTGATCAATCTGATCCTGTTCTGACTTCACAGGCCTCCTTCCTACAGGAACAGATACTCTATTCTGTTTCCATACTGAGCCTGGTCCTCTTATTAACATCTGGAAATCCTATCATTTGAGGTCTATTACAAAGGAAACACTTTCCATGAAAAAACTTCCCTGTTGACACAGAATTCCTCTCTTCTGAATTGTATGCTGCCTTATTTATATTATAAAAATAACACTTATTATGGACTAGTATTAATGTCATACACATCTCTTACATCCCTTACAACATCATAAACCCCAGAAAGGCAGAGATCAGATCTTATAAACCGTTACAGTCTCTCTTTTAGTTTTCCCACATAAATATTTATCTTACAAATTAGAATAGCAAAATTAATAATATGACATTTACTCTCCTTCCTAGAATCTGTGCATCCTTAATGCATCACTGACAAGGTCACTAAAAATTTTCACCAGCTCACAAAACATTGTCTGTTTTTAAAAGGTTGTTTCAAAAAGAATAAAACACACACTATGACTATAATTATTATGCCATCCAAGCATTTTCAGAGGAAAGTCCGGTTAGGATTAGTTTAGCATCCTCCTAGCAAAGCCACCATTTATACTGTTAGCGTTAAATCTATAATGGTAATCACAAGCACAAATATACTGAAGTCCCTTTATTTAGTTCCATGGAAATAACCCTAGGAGAGCCATGACATTTACTAAGGAAAAACACTGCCACTAATAAAAAGAAATAAGCCTGCCTACCTCACTTATTCTGTTAATGCCTTATTTGGGAATCATACTCAGGCATTTTGCCAAAATGGAAAAGTGATATGCTTCTACTATATCGTTTTCAATGTAAATGGAAAGGTAAGATGACAGACAAACATAGGAAGAAAAAGAGCAATTCTACTATTTTATGCCCTTTTATAACAGTACTCTGAAATACATTCTCAAGAAATAGCATATAAAAATCCTACATGCTATTTTAGTGAAAAGCCAGAGTAGCTTTGCCCATTAGTTTCCCTGATCACAATGCAACCGGAACTTAAATTTGACTCAGACACCCAATGAGATGTCTAAAGCAGCCTCTTTTTCATGCATTCTTGAGAAACACACAAAATGAAAAATGCTTTCCCTGCTAAAACAAATAGTACACCCAACAGTTATCAATTTCATAAAAAACTGTCATCCAACAATTCAACTTCTAGTAATTTAGTATGAGAAAATAATCATATAAAGAAGTTCTGCATAGCCTCATTCATCATAGTAAAAAAAACAGGAAACAGTTTAAATGCCAACCAATGGGGAATCATTTACATAAAACAAAGTGTATATTTACTATTCAACAATGAAAAATGTTGACACAGATGTATACTCACTGACATGGAAAGATGTTCACAGCATGCTGTTGCAAGAAAATAGGTTATAAAACCATATACACATCTGTGTGTGCTCATACGCAGTACTCCTAGATGGCAGGGTTTGAAGCATGTGCTTGTAATCAATTTATTGTCTTTCAGCTCCAAATTCGTACTTTACTGCCTGCTCTGCAAAAAGGAAGCTGGGCCCTTTACATATTTTTCCTTTGCTGACATGTGTTAAAACTTTATCAGTACAGGGTGCTGGTGAGTAGCTTCCCTCAATACCCCAACCCCACTGGTGGTTTTTTAGCAGAATACCTTCACTGAGACACCTCCTTGTGAACAGCTTTTGCCCAGCACAATAGCCAGGAGGTTTTAAACAAGCTTCTATGGGATGGCAGCACAGCAACTTCTCCATCATCCATTAAACCATGGCCACACCCTCTCTAACATGATTTGGATCAGCCCTGAGAGGGACCTTTTCCTGAACATCCTCAGACCTACGGGATGGGGCTGCTCCTTATGTCTGCCATTCTTTTATATTCATTAGAATTCTCTTTACTCCTTACTAGCCTACCCTTTGCCACTCCAATCCCCAGTTACAGTTAATAATTTTTAATAAAGAATATTTAATTCTTTAGTTTTTGCTCAAATTACCGTGTGGTTTCCCCAGAATTGACCCTGACTGATGTGAGTTTTTTTTTCCCTTCTTTTCAATGTTGTCTGAATTTATAATAAGCATTTTTTTTTGCAGTTCGCGGGCCTCTCACTGTTGTGGACTCTCCCATTGCGGAGCACAGGCTCCGGATGCGCAGGCTCAGAGGCCATGGCTCACGGGCCTAGCCGCTCTGCGGCATGTGGGATCTTCCCAGACCGGGGCACGAACCCGTGTCCCCTGCATCGGCAGGCGGACTCTGAACCACTGCGCCACCAGGGAAGCCCTCTAAGCATTTTTTGTGTGTGAAAATCAGAAAAGGCAAGTTTACTTTGGAAAAATTAAAGAAAAATTCACTACTAAATAAACATTAAGTTTTTCTACTTTAATAGATCAGAAACATACCTGTAAGATTAAAATGACTGAAATCAAAGAACATTCATTTGTGTAAGACTATAAATGTTCAGTTTTTCTTTTCTTAATACCAATTTCTTTTCAACATTATCCAAAATTGTGTTTCTAGGTCATTTAAAAAAAACAGAAATGATTTAGACTGCTATTTTTTTCTCTCTTAGTTATGCCATATATTAGCCTTCACAAACAGGTTATTAATCACTAGATATCCTGGAATGATAGCTCCTGTGATAGGTCCTAGTTCCTCAAACACAGTCAGCCTCTTTCATCTTACTATTTCACCCCTCTTACCATGTTCAAGGATTATCAGTTGGGCTCCAGCTTGTGCATTTCCAACATCATTTTCAGCAATGCACTGATAGAACCCTTCATCTGATTTCACCAGACCCAAAACTTGAAGATTATGTTCCTTCTGAGGAAGAAAAACATAAATAAAATTTTATGATTTAACTGATAAACATCAGTTCAAAATCTCAAGGATATGCTCTTTCTGGAGAGGAAAAGTAAGTAAAATTGTATGATTCAGTTACTGAATATTATCTACCTATGAACCTGTTAACTCAATTTTGACAAGATACTGACTCAAGTGACTAGAAAAAGAAACACTGTCATTAACAATTATGAACTCAATCCTTATAGAAAGTCTTATCTTCAATGTATGCAAACGTACACCTTTGCTTGGAAAAATATCTGGCATGCGATACCATGTGACCATAGTGAGAGTCTGAATTTGTGAATTCAAGGCATTTTCTTAAGATTATCTCTAATATCAATAGTTCTAAGAGATAAGTTAAATGAGGCCACATATATAAAAGCTTTTCTTAAACTATAAAGTACTAAATGAATGTCAACTATAGTTATTGATATTTTAAAAAATAGTACGAAAATAATGATAAAAGAGGAAAAATGCTAATTTAACCATAACACGCTGCTTTTTAATTAGGGTTAAATACTTGTGAATTACTTTTTGTAACATATGAGATTACGTACTTTAAAAATAGAAAATGTATTCCTATGAAGAATGAATTGGTTATATGAGAAATTTGTAATGAGACATTAAGTCTTGAACAACCATAATTACTTCTGATTATGTCTATGAATGTCAGGTATACATCCTAAGATATGTCATTAATCTTTATTACTAAAACCTAGATAATTCTGTTAACAGGATGTCAGATAATGATAATAATGACAGTGGATAATATTTACTAAGCATTTCCTATATACATATGAAGTAAAAAGAAATAATGACTGAGTCTTCTTAAGTAGATTTAAGGCTACTTATTTACTCTTGCTTTACTTTTTAAAAGAATCTTTATGTTTATTTTCACAACAACTGTCCAACACTGGGTCACCCTTATTTTGAAGGGTCTGGGCATCAGTATAAGAAAGACAGACTTCTGCTCCTTGAACGGAGAGCTATGAAGACAATTGGTACATGTGAATACACACACAGGATAATCATTACCCAGAGAGTGGTGGCGGCTGTGTTAAACAGTGCTAGTACATCCGAGTAGGACTACACTGTTGGTCAGGAGATGTGGACTTCAGGCTGAGTTCAAACACTGACTTGCTCTGTGATCTTACATGAGCTACCAAAATATTTCTGGGCTCAGCTTTCTCATCAGTCAATGAAGAGATTATATTCCAAGCGAATTTTTCTATCTTCATCTTATATACACCATTTCATGTACTACAGATAACAGATCTCTTGGTGATTACATTTAAAGATATTTAAAGGTTTCAGAGATAAGTTTCTTTGAAAAATACTTACTACAATCTTAAAGTAATCACTTGGGATAACCATATCCCCATTCTTGACCCACTTCACAGTTGGAGTTGGCTTCCCAGTCACTTCACATTCAAATACAATATCCATAGATTCATGAGCATATATATTAGTAGGCTGCTTCAGGAATTCAGGTTGAGCTTTAAAACAGAAAGAAAATTAAGGTATTAATAAAAATAAAAATAGGTAGCTATTTATATTTCAAGCAATTTTTAAAAATCACAGAATTAATAGGATTTTTAATTATTTGAGGCTTTCATATGTTTTTAGAAAAACATAATACATATTTAAAATATATGTTAGGAACATGATATCTTTAAAAATTGATATTCTGGCATAATTAACTGGCAGAATAATTATAACAATAATTTCTGAGTTTCTCTGTTGAGAAATATTTACTAAGTTGACTGTTTTGAAGAAAATGAAAATAGGAAAGTTCTAAGCTGTCCAAAAATTGAATATTGAAGTCTATTTCCCTAAGATTTAAACCATTTTAGAAAAGTCATGATTACAATTCAAAAAGAGCTGAGAAGACTGACATTATCTTCCTTTTCAGTCAGCTTGATGAGTAACAAAAGAACCCAAAAATACAAATGTCACATTAGAGGCCTTAAATAGTTTACTCACAGAAACACACACACACTTCCATTAGTAACACCCTTCATTACATGCAATGGTTTTTAAGGGTGGGAGGTAGAGTGACAGAATCTTTGGGAAAAAGTTAAATGTATTTGAAAAAGCTTGATTATCCCATTGTCTCCCTTTCCCCTTAACCCAAACTTGTAAATCACTGACTCAAATAGATTCAGTAAGACTTTGAATTTAAAGGGTAAAAGTAGATCATCTAGTCCAACTTCCTACCTAATGCCATAATTTCCTATTCCTGCTACATCCATGACAAGTGGTCTTACAAATCCCTGTTTGAAGTTCCAAATGACAAGGAACTCCCTATATCACAATGATGACGACAACAGCAGTTTTTTTTTTTTTTTTAAACAGTTGAGTTAAAATGTGCTCAGCCTGCTGGAATTTTGATTGGGACGGGGCTGAATCTGTGGCAATTTGACACCTTAACAATACCAAGTCTTCCTTTCCATGCACATGATTTATCTCTCCATTTATTTAGATCTTTGGTTTCTCTCATCACTGTTTTATATATTTCAATATACAAATTTTGTTCATACTTTATTAGCTGTATCCCTAAGTATTTTAAATTTCTTGGTGCTACTGTAAGTGGTACTTAATTTTTTTTTTTTTTAGTTTCTAATTGTTCACTGCTAGTATCTAGAGATGAAACTGATTTATGCATATTGACCTTTTATCCTGTGGTCATGTTAAACTCATTCATTAGTTCTAGCAGCTTTTTATAGACAATTCTGGGATTATCTATGTAGACAACCATGTTGCCTGCGAATAGAGAGAGTTTTATTTCTTCCTTTCCAATCTTCTTTCTTTTTTCATTTTTTTAATCTATTGCACTGGCTAGAGGGGGCAGGTCCTGGGAAGAAGTCCAAACTAGCTTTATAATTTGGGTAAATGAAGAGTAAGAGTATAGAGAGCAGGTAGAACCCCAGGTAAGCAGTAGAAGCCAAAGATGGTAAGAATGTAACACAGTGATGCAAGATCAGGAAAACGTAAGTGTACAACTAGATGAAGTAAGGGAAATCTATTAGCAGTGAATTTAACTCTCTTTTCCAACATTGGTTAGTCATCTGTATTCTTTGGTGAATTATCTATACACATACTCTGCTATTTTTTCAATTAGAGTGTTCACAATTTTCTTATCTATATGTAAAAGCTTTTCACATAATGCCAGTTATTCATTTATGGCCTCTCAGCTCCAAATCCACTCTTCTTTGTAATGATGGATGTGGACCTTTGCCAGCTGATGCAATGTTAAGACTTTGTGAACAGAGGACACTGGAGGGACATTGTAAGGCACGGCAGAAGAAAAGGCTTATCTTTCAGGTTGGGGTGTGCTGTTCTTCTCGGCCCTACGGTGTGGCAGCTAGAAGGTATGTGGGAGAACCATTGGTGATCACCCTCCGGCAAGTTTCTCTGCTCAGTCTCTAGTAAGTTTCTCCAGTTTACTCTAGCAGGTAGCTTTCTGTGCAGGAGCTCTGACTGTTAGCATTCCATTAAACAGCATCCAATATATCAGCTCTGACTCAAGGCACCCCGCTGGGGAACTTGCTGCTCATCATCAGTCAGGCCCATGGCATCCCAGAAGGCGGCTTTCCACACACCAGCTCAGGCCTGTGGCATCCAACAGGCAATCTCCTGTGAACCAGTTTGGCCCATGGGCTGTGTTCTCTGGCAGTGACTACACTCTCTCCAAGGTCTGAATTGCAACCTTGAGTAAGGGTGCCCTCTTCCAAGTTTGTTCCTTTTTTTGGATTCTCTCCCTCGGCTCTTGAGGTAGTAGCTAATTCTTATATTTACTCTTTCTTTATTCTTTAGAATCCTACTTTATCCTATTTAGTAGTTAAAACACCTTTTATTAGTTAATAATTATTTATGTTTAATTCTCCTTGTTCAAATTCCTGGTGCAATGTCTGGCTCCTGACTGGACCCTGACTAATATAGTAAGATATTAATCCTTTCTCTTACATGCCAATATTTCTTCTCAGCTGTTTCTTTTGTCTTTTTAAATTTAGGATGCCTACTGTATCAAAGTTTTAAGTCTGTATGTGGTAAAATTTTTTAGTCCTCTCTTTTTTTGGCATCTGTATTTTATTATTCTTACTCCAAAGGGTTTTCCTTGCTTCCATACTATAAAAATATTCACTTACTTTTTCTTCTAGTATGTCTGTGAAACAATCTTGACTTCACTGAGTTAAGCATCCAGCTTTATATTTTTCTAAACAGCAACTCCAGTAGTCCCAATCAAAGTAACCGATTTGAAATAGTTTTAATATCTAAATCCTATATACTCTTAGGGGTTTATTTTGCATATTAAGTGGTTTCATTGACCTGTTTATTCCTGGGCCAGAACCACAAACTTAATGATTGTTACTATATAGTATTTTAAAATATTTGGCAGAACAAGTACTCTCCTAATTTATTCCTTTATTTCCTCAAAAATTTCCTAACATGTTCATTAAGATGTTTTTTCCCAGATGAATTTAGACTCATCTTTGCTTATGTTTCTCTGTTCCTTCTCAAAGAAAACAAACAAAAGCAACCTGGAGTTTTCATTTGAACTGCAATAAATTTTAGATGCTGGAAAAATAAACATATTTGCAATCCTGAGTGGTCCTATTTAAGACTAGGTATTTAAGTTTATTTGGATATTATTCAGTAATGATTTATTGTAAAGACATTGTAATGACTGAAGTCAAGAGACCTACAGTTGAGTGCTGGTTCTACCACTAGACATTGTGCTGACCATGGGCTTCAAAAAATCCATGGGTTTTAGTTTGTTCCTACGCTGAATAAGGAACTCAAGCAGACTTGTTCCTAAGTACACTAAGATCTCAAACCAACTGTGATTTTATGATTTTAGTTTAGTTTATACCTTTGTTGTATAGTAATTAGTAGCTAACATTCACGAGTGCTATCCACTTATTATCATTATCAATTCATGGCCAATACTGTTTCATCTATACCCCAAACCATTCCATGGCCTTTCCAGATTACTGTGAAAGCAAACTCCAGGTTTTATATTATTTCACATATGAATACTTAATTAAGTACCTCTACAAAACAAGAACTCCTATTTTTAAGCAAAATCATCATCAGGTTGGTATCTATAATAATTTCTTACTATCATCAATTATCCAGTTAGTATTCACATTTCACTAACTGGCCTATTTTTTTTAAAGGTGATTTATTTTATTTTAATTGCACAAACAAGGTACATTCATTGGCATTGTTTCTTATGTTTCTTTTAATCTACAGGTTCGTCCTTTATCTCTTATCTTTGTTTGCAATGTGTTTGTCGAAGAAGTCATTCATCCTGCAGAATTTCCTGCAGTCTGTCTTTTGCTGACTGCATTGCCATGGGGTTATTAACATATTCATCCTATATACAGGCAGTTAAATGTAGAAGCTTGAATGGAGTCAGGCTCTTTTTTTCCCCCCAAGACTACTTCATAGGCAGTGCCTTGTCCTTCCATCAGGAGGGTTCATAATGTGTGACTGTGTCTCCTGTGATGTTAACAGTCTTTGATAATCATTGCCTACACAAAAGGAGTTGCAAAATAGTAATATTCTTATTCTATCATTCCTTCTATAAAGAGAAAAATCCCCTCATTAATTATTTGGTTACCCTTAAGTATAATTCTTACAGAAAGGACGGGATAATGCTCGATTCTTTCCCTTTGCTTACCAATTCCCAAAACAATGATCTGGTTCTCTAATATCATCTCCCAAATGTGATCAATGAAGGCTTTTTAAAAGTATCATTATGAGCTCACAGATTAAAATATATTTGGTTTGTTTCAATCCACTGAAGTTACCCTTCTTTTCATTTTCAAACTATCCCATCTTTGACCAATGGAAGCCTGAGTCCACTGGAAGTTCCTGAGTAATTTTTGACATGATCCAAGTGGTCTTTAGTACATTCTGGTCACTGTTTTTAGGTCCTAATTGTGGACAAAGCCAGGAAATCTGTACTATTTAAATATAAAATTATGATTTCATTCTGGTATCTCCAGTTAAGTTTGAGACTATAGGTTTTAAGGGGATCCTATTCATTTTACGTCTCTATTTCCTTTTTCTCATGCCAAAAATCTCTGTTCTCAATGATGCCACCTTAATTATTTATACGCTTTATCTTACACTCAGTAGGCTCAGAATAACAATACCAACATTTCCACCAAGAGAAAAAAGTTGAAGATTTCTTTTTGTCCTTGAGAATATTCTACTAAGTATATATAGTTTAATTACTATTTTAAATTTATTTGGAACAGTAACTTTCACTTGGAATTTTAACTTTCTGTGTGGCTATACTACCAACTAGTTACACATATAGAGTCATTTGTTTCATTTTACTTCCCCTTTTCAGCAATTTAAAATCTACAAAAAAGGGTATATTCCAACAAGTCTTGCTTCTAACCCTGTTTTCTCTACCCTTTTCCCTCCCTTCCCCTATAGGTAACCATTAATTTTTTTTGAATGATGTACCTTTCAGTTAAAA